AACTCTCTGCCCCGGAGTGTGGTGGAGGCTCCTTCTTTGGAAGCTTTTAAACAGAGGCTGGATAGCCAGCTGTCAGGGGTGATTTTAATGCAATATTTCTGCTTCTTGGCAGAATGGGGTTGGACTGGAAGGCCCAGGAGGTCTCTTCCAACTCTTTGATTCTATGTTGCTGGATCCCTGGTTGCCATTCCCCACTCTGGCCCTCAGTGAAGCTCAATGTTTTGCCTCAGACAGTAAAATGTCTTGCAAGTTCTCCATCAGGACTACTTTCACACTGGAATCTAGGAAACCATGCTGAAGATTTCACAATTTCTCCACTCCACCCAACCCAACATACCACAAGACAGTGATTTATACATAGATGATGGATAAGATTTTGGCTCCGTGCCTCACAACATAACCCAAGGCGCTATAATCTTGGCACAGCTCATCCTTCTTGCTCAACCAGACAGGCATTTCAGAGCCTCCAGGAACATAAAAACACAGAACTATGGCAAAGAGACAGGGAAAATTAAGTCAATTGTGTGATGGGTTTCCTGCTGAGCATTGCATTCAGCATTTACATACAGATTGCAAAAGTGTTGATATTTCAAGAAAGGCTCAGAATAATGTCACGTTGTCGTCCGGATCCATCAGTCAGGGAGACCTTCCTGACTGCCCGCATAGTGTCTGCATCTAATAGATCTTCGGAGCTGTTCCGGGTTGTTGGGGAGCTCCTTCACCCCCCTGGGGTGGAGGAGGCCCCTGACGACCCGACAACTCGGTGCTGCGGGTTCGCGTTCCATTTTGCAGATGGAGTTGCTCAGATACGCCTCAAGTTAGTCACCAGCTTAAACACAGTGCCAGAGGAGGTGACCGAGGCATCTGCTTGTCCGCTTTTGTGGGATTCCTTCTGGCTTGTTCATCCTGAGGACGTGGAGGGGGTCCTTGGGGCTGTGAGGGCGACCACGTCGGCTCTGGACCCTTCCCCTTCTTGGCTAATTAAATCGGCCAGAGGTGAATTGATTGATTGGTTTGTGTTAATCATTAATGCATCGCTGGAGCAAGGGAATTTTCCATCTTGGCTGAAACAGGCTGTGGTTAGACCACTCCTGAAAAAAGCCTCTCTTGACTCCACGGTCGTAACTACAGACCCATCTCCAACCTCCCGTTTTTGGGCAAGGTCCTGGAGCGGGTGGTCACCTCTCAGCTCCAGGGTTTCCTTGATGACATCAACTATCTGGACCAATCACAGTCTGGCTTCAGACCTGGTCATGGTACCGAGACGGCTTTGGTCGCCTTGGTGGATGACCTCCGCAGGGAGCTGGACAGGCGGAGTGTGACCCTGTTAGTTCTCTTGGACATCTCAGCGGCTTTCGATACCATCAATCATGGTATCCTTCTGGGACGAATCTCCGGGATGAGCCTTGGAGGCACGGCTCTGTCATGGCTCTGGTCCTTCCTGGAGGATTGTTCCCAGACGGTGAAGCTGGGAGACACCTGCTCGGACCCCTGTGGGGTCCCGCAAGGTTCCATTCTTTCCCCCATACTTTTCAACATCTACATGAAACCACTGGGAGAGGTCATCTGGAGTTTTGGAGTTGGGTGCCACCTCTATGCAGATGACACGCAACTCTACTACTCTTTTCCACCTAATTCCAAGGAAGCCCCTCGGGTGCTGGACGAGTGTCTGGCCGCTGTGGCTGTCTGGATGAGGAGGAAATGGCTGAAGATCAATCCCAACAAGACAGAGGTCCTCCTGGTCGATCGTAAACCGGATCGGGGTATAGGGCGGCAACTTATGCTGGACGGGGTTGCACTCCCCCTGAAGTCACAGGTCCGCAGTCTGGGTGTCCTCCTGGATTCATCACTTACGTTTGAAGCTCAGGCGTCAGCAGTGGCCGGGAGGGCTTTTGCACAATTAAGACTCGTGCACCATTTGCGACCGTACGTCGTGAAGTTGGATTTGGCCAGGGTGGTCCATGCCTTAGTCACCTCCAGACTGGATTACTGTAATGCACTCTACGTGGGGCTGCCCTTGAAAATGGCCCGGAAATTTCAATTGGTACAACGGGCGGCAGCCAGGTTACTAACTGGTACTTCTTACAGAGAGCGGTCAACCCTCCTGTTTAAGGAGCTCCACTGGCTGCCGTTCATTTTCCGGTCCCAATTCAAGGTGCAGGTTTTTACCTACAAAGCCCTGAACGGTTTGGGACCTGTGATAATGTGGCATGTCTCATTAAGAGCCACATCCAATGTTTTAGCATAGTGAGATGTGTTCCACACTGGGCATGCGTACTCAGCAGCAGAGTAACAACGCGCAAGGGCAGATGTCTTCACTGTATCTAGTTGTGATCCCCAGGTTGTGCCAGTCAGCTTTCGTATGATATTATTTTTAGCACCCACTTTTTGCTTGATGTTCAGGCAGTGCTTCTTGTAGGCCAGAACATGGTCCAGAGTGACTCCCAGGTATCTGGGTGTGCTGCAATGCTCCAGTGGGATTCCTTCCCAGGTAATCCTCAGAGCTTGAGATGGTTGTCTGTTCTTAAGATGAAAAGCACATGTCTGTGTTTTAGATGGATTTCCCAATGATTTTTGAGGAGTTAATTCTAAGTAAACTTGCATGAGTAATTCTGAGTAAACATGAAGGGTGGATATGTCCATATAACTGAGATAACTGTCATTTCAAAAAAAGTATGTACTTTTTTTTTTTTAAAAAAAGACCATCTTCTATATCAGGGGTCCTCAAACTAAGGCCCGGGGTCCGGATATGGCCCTCCAAGGTCATTTACCTGGCCATCGCTCAGGGTCAACCTAAGTCTGAAACAACTTGAAAGCACACAACAACATCAACAAAAACAATCCTATCCCATCAGCCAAAGGCAGGCCCACGCTTCCTAGTGAAATACTGATGTTTCACTACATCTGAGGATGCTTGCCATAGATGCAGGTGAAACGTCAGGAGAGAATGCCTCTAGAACATGGCCATATAGCCCGAAAAAACCTACAACAACCCAGTGATTCCGGCCATCAAAGCTTTCAACAATACAAATACTAATAAGTTTATATTTGTTTAAATTATTCTTCATTTTCATTATTGTATTGTTTTAAGTGTTTTTTCGCACTACAAATAAGATATGTGCAGTGTGCATAGGAATTCATTCATGTTTTTTCAAATTATAATCTGGCCCTCCAACAGTTTGAGGGACTGTGACCTGGCCTTCTGTTTAAAAAGTTTGAGGACCCCTGTTCTATATGCAAAGTATTAATTATTCTATCTCATGGCTGTTTTCAAAATGAGCGCAATTTCCCTCTCCTATCAACTTCCAAGATTCCCCCTGCCCCCATGCCTGAAAAGCAAAAAACTGTCTGTTTTTCCAGGACACCAGCTTTCCATGCAACATCCGTTACTGCAAGTCATGCTTCTGCAACCCCTTCCTTCCTCTGCAAAGCAAACACAAAGGCCTTTCAATACATCCAGGGCGTCAGCAGCACAGTTACTTTGAATCCTAGGATATTGCCTATGCTGTAGCAAGCAAAACAGGGGCCACAGCAACTGTGGAAGGTTGAGCTTACAAGGGTTTTGAGAAGGACATTTATAAATTATTGAGGCAACATTAATATGAAGGGACTTAGGAAACTGCATTCTACTAGCTCTCCAAATATTAGTCCAGACTGCTTTTGCTTAGCGTCCAAAATTATATGAGAATGTGTGCATTTAGAGTGCCATGTATTTACTTAAGAAACTCCAAAGACTTACTGTTTTACTCGCCCTCAAAACAGTACAGTAATTTGCATGAAGTAAAATCGGTACAACATTCACATACAGGGTTCATGATTATTCATGTTTTCTCTTATCTCTTTATCATGTTCATTTGTTTTGATTTCAAATCTCAGTGTGTCGTCTGTGCACATTCAGAAGAAGACCTACAAGCCACTCTAAACACCTTCGCAGAAGCATACGAGAAGCTCGGCCTGTCATTGAACATCGAGAAAACCAAAGTCCTCTTCCAGCAGTCACCAGCCAATCCCTCTCCAATGCCAGAGA